TGTGAACTACGATTGTGATCTGGACGTTACGAACTTGTTTGAACGCATGGTATGGAGCCGAAACATGGTGCAAGTGCACGTTTGTTTGGTCTGGGACGGTCAGTGGTGCGTGAGGATGTGGTGATGCTGACATGTTGACAAGCGAGAATGTATGAGTTGATGACGGGCGATTGTCGTGGCCCGTTGTTGGTTTTGTGGCTGTGGAGGTTGTACGTGGTGTGGCATGTGCGGTTGGTTGATGCGATGTGTGGGGTGTGATGAAGGTGAATTCGCTATCGCGACTTGCCCAAGGGACGGCGAATGGAGATCCCAGCGCCGCGAATGCGTCGCAAAACATTGCGCTGAAAGCCTTGGCTCTTCAAGTGAGTGAAACTCGAGAATCTCGAAGGTTATGGGGGCTTGTTGTTTTGTCGTTGTCGGGTGGCTGGCATCTGACATCCAAGTGGTGCGTTGATCCACAGTGTCTGGTGAGCGTGCTGAGGTCACTGGGAACGTGGACATCGAAACAGAGGGGGAACAGGCCAGTGTTTCCCGACCTGACCGTCGCCGACGTGGAGGTTGACTCTGGTGGGGTGAACGGTGGCGGTACTGAGGCGGATGTGAAGGAGGACGCGAAGGTCGTGACCCAAGCGAATGAGTTCGAGAAAGCAAAAGCTCTGAAGGTCACCATGGAGAGCGCGGTTGCCAAGGTACCCGGCGGACTGCAACATTGATGACGAGGGCGGCATGGCACCTGCGTTGTGAAGCTATGATTTACGGATGCGATACTAGTGAGAGGACGTAGAACAGTACCAGTGGCGAGTGGGCAGGAGGGGTTGAGGAATAGTATTTTGTGGGATGATTGCTAGTTACTGGTGCGTGGGGTGTGCACATTTGGCTTCACAGCTGTTGTTCGTGCATCTTTCAAGTGTGACAGTGATGGAGTGAGCAGGTGAGATGTGCTGACACGGACGAGTTACTTGGTTGTACAGTTCAATATGAAGCCGTCAAGTGGGATCAAGTTTCTTTTCGAGCACAACCTGGTGGCCAAGGAGCCAAAAGCAGTCGCTCAGTTTCTAAGGGATTCTCCGGGGTTGGACAAGGTAATGATTTCGTGGCAGTTGGGAGTTTGCAACACACAGGATAGGCGTTGTCCGGGTTACCACGGATGTTGTTGCAAGGGGTATGTTGGTCAGATTACGGCCTGGATGGGAATGGGCTGCAACCTGAGGGCAGCACGAGGTGATTTGGATGTTGGAGTACAGTTTGCGTCATCTGGAGTGGGCGATGATGGTTCAGGCGGGATGGTAGTCGGTCCTGTGAAGGCGAAGAATGTTGGCAGAATAGCAGGCTGATGACGGATGGCAGAATAGGGGGCTGGATTGTGGGGCGACACGGGACAGTGTTTGGGGATTAGAGCGTGCGACTGGTGCAGTGTTGGAGGAGATGAGATTGTGACGTGATTGGGTGTGGGTGGTGCAGACGATGATCGGAGACTACTTGGGGCAGCACGAGGAGTTTCCGCTGGCAGTGATGCATGCATTCGTTGATGCACTGAGCTTTAAGGATATGAAGTTCGACAAAGCCATTCGGATGTTCCTGAACGGGTTTCGTCTTCCTGGCGAAGCGCAGAAGATCGATCGCATCATGGAGAAGTTTGCGGAGAGGTAAGCAGGAGGCGAGAGCGCGTGGCCGGGTGATGCGATGCACTTGACGGCAGAGACGGCGCTGTTGTTGGTTGTGGAGTTGAGATGAGGTTGTGGTTAGTTGCTGTGATGGTTGGGTGATGCATGTACTATTGACCGCAGGTACTGCCGAGACAATCCAAATCTGTTCAAGAACGCGGACACTGCGTACATACTGGCATATGCAGTGATCATGCTGAACACGGACGCCCACAACCCCATGGTGACCAACAAGATGAGCAAGTCCGACTTCGTGCGCATGAACTCGTCCAGCGACGTGGACGAACATGCTCCTGCGGTATGGGCATAGCGCATGGGCCGTGAACGCTTGGGCGTGTTTTGAACGTAGGGTTGTTGCAGTTGACGAGCGTGGGTCGGGAAACACGAGGATTTTGGGAGCGGTGTGAGAGTTTGTAAGTTTTGGGCGAGGTTTCGGGAGGTGTGCAACAGGGGGTTGTGTGGTGGAGGATACGGGTTTTGGGGATGTTGTGGTGGTGGTATTGGGAAGAATAGGGAAAAGCAGTAGGGGTGGGGAAGTGCAACTGACTTGTTTGATCACACGTGGCAGGAACTGTTGGAGGAAATATACGATTCCATAGTTCGAGAGGAGATAAAGCTGAAGGACGACGACTCGAAGAGGGAGAGGCCGGAAGAGAGAAGCTCGCTGGTGAGCATATTGAACCTGGGTGGATTTCGAGGAAGAGGTGCTGCCGATACGAAGAAAGAGAGCGACGAGTGATCGA